ATGATTTTTTTTTTCTTTCTTTCTTTTTAAAAGATGTTTGCTATAGGACACGGGCACTCCCCACAGAGACATAAAGTGAGAAATCACCCTCTAGGGGGATGACCATACAGCAGTTCCACCTCCTCTATCCTCCTCTCAGGACTTTGAGCATGCACACACACATGCCCACTGTGAGCTTCAAGCCTCTGGGTCACGGACCTGAACCATGGTTGACCATGTGGGGAGTCCAGGGACATAACCATTACACCATCTGCTGGTCCCAATTTTTTTTAAAGAGAGATTCTTTTGCTATAGGACACGTATGCTTGCTGGAGAGACAGAGACAAAGCGAGACATTATTCCCCAGAGAGAATGGCCACACTGCCTTCCTTTCTCCACTCTTTGGGAATTTGTGGCACACATGCAGCCAGCATGAGTTTTAAGCCACCAGTTCTGACACTCGAACCCTGGGCGGCCATATGGGAGTCCAATGCCTCAACCACCACACCACCTGCTTGCCCCAGGTTGCAGGGGTCTGTATTTTGTTTTATTATTTTCTTTTTAATTTGTTATAGGGCACCATTTGCTCACCAGAGAGAGACAGAATGAGAAAGGTCCAGATTTCAAACTGCTGTTGGCCATGTGGTAGTCCAGAGCCTTAACCACCACCATGCCACCTGCTAACCCCAAAAGTTGTGGGGTTTTAATATATGAATTTATAGCTTTGCTAGGCTTTAATTTCTTTCAAGATTTTTGAGATAACTCTTGTTCATAATTTGGATCAGTAACACTTGCATTTAGGTCTTACTTAGGTCTTATTAATGAAGAATGTTCTAGGTAATCCAGAAAGGTAGAGTAGTAAAATTGGTCATTAGCTTCTTGATAAGTACTTTACTGTAGTGAACCCACTAAGACTAAACCTTCACTAAATTTTTATTTTCTTTGACTCAGATCTTTAGGATTTTCTATTATCTGAGAATCACTATAGCATCCATTATTATTTTGTATGAACTTAATACAGAATATGATTTGTGCACTTTTCTCCATTTTTATTTCAAGCAGTTAAGCAGCCACTGAAATCTGGGTTTGTATTAAGCCCTAGAGCTTTATTCTCTTGTCTTTCCTTGTCTGGTATGGTTTATTCAGAGACTGGATCTACACAACTTTTATCCATTTATTTTTAAAGAATTATTTATTTTGGGGCTGGCAAGTGGTGTGGTAGTTAAGGGCGTGGGATTCCCACATGGCTGACCGCTGTTCGAGTCCTGGTCCTGATGCCTTCCTTTCTTTCTCTTCATCTCCAGTCAAATTAAAATAAGTAAATAAATAAATAAAATTAATTTAAAGAATAATTCTTTTTTAAAAGCCTCTAAACAAAAATGAATTATTTATTTTATTTATTTTTCTTTTTCTTCAATTTAAACAGAAAGAAGGATAGTGAGAAAGCAAGACACCAGGTCTAGGACTCAAGCTGTAGTCATCCATGTAGGAGTCCTGTTCCTCAGCCACCACACTACCTGCCATTCCCAATTTATAAATTTTTAAACTGAAAGAACCTAGGTTAGTACAGCTACAATCTAAAGTAAGAAAAGTTCTGGAAGCAGTAAGTAAACACCTTTTAAAACAAATAAGTAGGTTACCCAGGCATTTTGCAAAAAAATAATAGTAAAGTATAAAAGCTATTGGTTACTTTTTTTTTTTGGTAGAGGTTGTTGCCTTAGGGCATGTGTGCTCCCTGGAGAGGCAGAGACAGTGAGGAAGAAGTAAGTCATCCCGCAGGTGGGAGGGCCACACTGCAATCCCTTCTCCTCCATTCCGCTGGGATCTTAGGCATGCATGCACACTCTCCCAGTGTGAGTTTCAGGCCACCAGGTCCAGGACTCAATCCACATTCAGTCATATTGAGAGTCCAGTGACATAACCACTACACCATCTGTTGGCCCTGCTATTAATTATTTTCATTGATCGGATTGGTTGTTGTCACAAATTTTGGGCAGTCTAAGTAAGGAACTCGCATTAGGAATCTTAAAGTAAATGGCATTTAATACTTCTAAAAATGCCCCAAAAGTAATTTTATTCAAAGAAAAATGTGGGGCCAGCAGTTATGTAATGACTATGTCGCTGGACTCCCACATAGTCGACCGCAGTTCGAGTCCCAGACCCGGTGGCTTAAGACTCACGCCGGGCGCATGTGCATGCCTGCCCAAGATATCTCGAGAGGAGAATGGAGGAGAAGGGATTGCGGCGTGGCCATCCTCCCCGGGGGGGGTGATTTCTCGCTTTCTATCTCTCTCTCTCTCTCTGTCCGGCGAGCGCACACGTGCCCTATAGCAAAATCCTCTCCCAAAAAAAAGAAAAATGACAGAAATAGTTGCATTTGAAAAATTAGTGTAGATAATGTTTCAAGTTCAATAGTAGGACTTTTATTAGAAAATATTAGAATTTCTAGTTTTCCTTAGAAATGTAATTGATTTTCTTCATCTGCAATTACAGCTTATTAGATAATGTGCATCATGCTTCTTATTTGGGCAAGCGTTTAAGTGCCTACTTGATGTGGAAGTAGCACGTTTTTGCAGATCAAGTATAAGTATCTTACAGTGGCACTGTTGATAACACTTCTAAACTAATTTTTGCATAGATGCTATGCTCTTTGCTGTTTAGCCATCCCAGGAAACTGAGGATCTGGGAGACCCTTGTTGGTTAATATAATTGGTTAGTTTATAGATTAAAGGTTAGTGTAAATATACTATATTTGCAGATTAATCCTTATGCAGACACCTTATTAATTAGCAAATTCTTTACAAATAACTTCCAAATTGCATTAGTTTTTACATACCAGTACTATTGTTCACAAGTAGCACTTAAAGAGAACGCACATAAACCAACAAAATTCCATCATCTGTGTTGGAAATTTAAATTAGGAATGTTTTAGCCTAGGCTGATAGCACCACAATTTTAGGGACAATGTTTAAACAGTAGCTCTCCCTCATTGCTACATAACTTCATTTAACTTTTTCTGATGGTGTTGCCTTAAGCTTGAAACTTGTTAGTCTAAGATTTCTTTTTAGAGTTGATTATAAAATGTTTTTTATCATTCTTCAGCCTCTCTTAAAATGGTAACTCATAGCAATAATACTTCCTGATAGAACTCTTAATTTTCCTCTGTATCCTTTGGTTTTGGCTTTAGTTTTTGTTTTCTGCTAATAAAGAAGTGGATACAAACCAGCACCCTTATGAGAATGCAATGGTTTATTTGTGGCATGCCAGTTAAAGTACTTAAAACTGGGGCCAGCAGGTGGCATGGTTGTTAAGGCCCTGGACTCCCACGTGGCTAACCACAGTTCGAGTCCCAGACCTGACAGCTTGCTTCCTCCCTCCCTCTCATGAGTGCATGTGCCCTGTAGCAAATTTAATAATAATATAAATTCTTTTTTAAAAGTGCTTAAAACTTGGGACCAGTAGTTAGTGTAATGGCTATGTCACTGGACTCCCATGTAGTCGACCGCGGTTCGCGTCCCGGACCGAGTGGCTTAAAACTCATGCCGGGCGAGTGTGCATGTGTGCCCAAGATCCCAAGAGGAGAATAGAGGAGAACGGATTGCTGCATGGCCATCCCCCCCGGGGGGTGATTTCTCACTTTCTGTCTCTATTTATCTCTGTCTGTCTGGCGAGCACACACGCCCTATAGCAAAAACCTCTCAAAAAAATTGTTTTATTAACTTTATTTGTTTATTATTTAAAAAGTTTGACCAGAGAGGGCAGAGCAAGAGAGATTGAAAGAGAAAAAGCAAACCGCCAGGTCCAGGACTCGAACCGTGGTCCACCATGCAGGAGTACATTGCCCTTAGCCACCACTCCACCTGCTAGCCCCTATTTTGTTTTGATTTCTACAGTTTCATCATACTGAATATGGAAACTTCAGACTTTTTACAGTCTAATAACTCACATTCTTCAGGTCAGCCTGATTCTAGACCATGTTCAGGCTTCTTGTCTATATCTCTGCCCCCCATTTGTAGTAGAGAATTTTGTCCTGGTTTCTCTGCCAACTCCTTTATTTTTACCATTCATCTATTCCAGGGGTTGACCAGATAATAAATACTTTATTCTTTGTGGTTAACTGCCTATCTCTGCTGTAATAGTCATGAAAGAAAAGACTGATAGTACAGATGAATGGGTGTGGTTGTGTTCCAGTAAAAGTTTATGTAGCAAAACAGGTAATAGGCTTGATTTATTTTCAGACCTTAACCCTATCCCATGCATCTTTCTGGGACAAAAGCTCAATGAAGGCAGGGATTTTTGTCTTTTTTTGGTCATTGAGTGTATCTGTGCATTTAGTAGGCACTCAGCTATTTGTGGTTCCTGGTTTCCGGTGGTTCATAAGATGTTACATTTGTTTCTTGTTCTTGTTTTAGGATGGTTTCTGAGAATGTAGGGGTAGACATGTCTGTCACTGTCATCTTGTCAATAGTTGAATACCCTTTATGGCAATTTTTCAGCTTTCATTTGTTAATATGTTAATATTAATATGTTACTCGAAGTTAGAATAGATCCAAAAACAATGTCTATAGGGAACCAGCAGTTAGCATAATGGCTATGTCGCTGGACTCCCACGTAGTCGACCACGGTTCATGTCCCGGACCCGGTGGCTTAAAACTCACGCCGGGCGCGTGTGTGCGCGTGCCCAAGATCCCGAGAGGAGAATGGAGGAGAAGGGATTGCGGCGTGACCATCCCCCCTGGGGGGTGATTTCTCACTTTCTGTCTCTATGTCTCTCTCTGTCTGTCTGGCGAGCGCACGCGCCCTACAGTGAAAATCTCTCAAAAAAAAAAAAAAAAAAAACCAGTGTCTATAATAATGTAGTTTCTTTTACCTTTGAGCATCCTTTAGTTATTTTGTTTACAGGATGCTCCATATTTGTGTGGTATAATAATCATTTTAAATACATCTATTTGCTTGAATGTCTAGAATTACATGAATACAAAGACTTAAGAGTTTTTTTCTCTCTCTCTTTTCTTTAAAAGGTACTAGGTTTTGACAAATTTGCATCATGCGTGAGTATAAGCTAGTCGTTCTTGGCTCTGGAGGCGTTGGAAAGTCTGCTCTGGTAAGTCTTTCTCATAGTACCTGAGCTTTGACCCAGATCATTCCTTTTCTGTTGAGTTTTAAGTTTTGATTGTTTTTATTAAAGTGAAATGCCATAATGGCTTCAGAAGCAATATAATATTTTTCTTGTAATTTTAGTCAACTTTTAGTTATAACTTGGTGGGTAACATTGTTTCTGGTTCGTTGGTTCCAGACTGATGTGAGGTATGCCAGAATATAGTTTGGGCTAAGCACAGAGACTGAGAATATATAAATATGTGTCTGTTTGCATTACAGAGCCAGATAGGAATGAATTTTGGTCTTTCTCCTCATGAGTAAGCTTCTACTATATATTTTTATGTTAGAAAATATCAAAAGGCTTTCAAATATTTTGTTTGTCTAGTTATGTATCATTTTAAAAGCCATGTTTTCTGCTTCAAGAAATAGTACATATAGCAAGAGAGATGGGGGAGGGTTACCGAAGAAGAGAAATTCATGAGAAATAGCTTGATGAGTAAGTTGTTTGGAGTTTAGCAAAGCACTTCGTAAGAAGATAGATGACCTTGGAGCTGGCAGGTGGCGTGGTGGTTAAGGGCGCTGGATTCCCACATGGTCGACTGTGGTTCGAGTCCTGGACCTGGAGGCTTTCTCTCTCTCTTTCAATCTCTGTCCTTCTCTGGTCAAATTGAAATAAATGAATAAATAAATAAAGCTAAATGAAATAATTCTTTTTTAAAGTAGATAGATGACCTTTTTTTTTTCTCCCTAGAGAGAGAAACTGTCTTATCTAGCCATGTAGAATGGCTACCTAATACGAAACTTGATATGCTTGAATCAAGCAGACACACACATGCAAAGTGGCATGAACTACCTTTTTATTTGTATCCAAAGTGATAAGGAGGTGTGTTGAGTATGAATGTGTGTGTATATGCAACAGTCAGCAAATTCAGATTTTTTTTTGGAAAGGTTTTTGCTATAGGGCACATGCACTTGCCAGAAAGACAGAGAGAGACAGAGATAGAAAGCGAGAAATCACCCCCCAGAGGGGATGGCCATACTGCACTCCCTTCTCCTCCATTCTCCTCTCGGGATCTTGGGCACGCACGCACACGCGCCCGGCATGAGTTTAAGCCACCGGGTCCAGGACTTGAACCACTGTCAGCTACGTGGGAGTTCAGCGACATAGCCATTACGCTAACTGCTGGCCCCCAAATTCAGATTCTTAAGTCAGTGGTATAACTACACGAAATCATTAGTTTAAAATTTATAGATTTGGAATTATTCTTTTCTTTGGAAGTATAATGATATGTTAATTTTTTTATAGACTGTACAATTTGTTCAAGGAATTTTTGTTGAAAAATATGATCCTACGATAGAAGATTCTTATAGAAAGGTATGTGTTTCTTTAGAAGAACTTTTGCTTTTGATTGTAACATAACTATAAATACTTGATTTTAACTTTGTTTTTAGTGTCGTATACAGAGTAGAATAAAGAGTTAATTTATAAAATTAGTGGGAAAACTCACAGTTGATATCCTGTCATTGCATGTTTATCAATTTAGGAAGAATCATAAAGACATAATTCTCTCTCTTTCTCTCTCTCTCTTCACATATACATTAACTCACTAAAATAAGTTTGTCCTGACTCCAACATTGTAATTTGACATAGAAACTTAAGAGCCAGGCCATCCATTTCAAATAGCAGTCCCCTGTTTCTCCCAGCCCTCTAGAAAGACTGAAAAGTTTTAAGTCTCTGTCTCCCCCATATATTTTTAAAGTTTATTTATTTCCTTCAAGAAAGAAGAAGAGACAGAGGCAGGCACCTTTGATAGGATCTTCATTCCACAGTTCTCCATGCAGCCTGTAGCCAGCCAGAATGATGAGTACACACAAAATGTTCAGGTAGACCCATGATATGAACCTGGAGCTTTCCCAGATGGCCACCCTGTGCTACCATGCACCTAGCTTTTTTATTCTTTTTAAGTTTATTTACTTATTTCCTCCATGATAGAAAAAATCTGAGATACAGCAATCCTGACAGGGTTTCTGCACCACAGTCCATCCACACCCCCACCTTAGCCAGCCTAGATCATGGGCATACATGTATCCAGCATATTCAAGAAGGTCTCACAAAAACCAACAACTTCTCATGTGGTTCTGACTTGCAGAGCACCACATGCCACAACATTGTCTCTTACTTCATTTTTTCCTATAGGTAGTCATACAGAAATCTCCCTAACCTGCCTGCTTATTAAAGCACTGAGCAGTGCACTGAGAAAGTGCCACTGCTCACAGTAGAAAGGTGCATTTCTATGTCCAGTAACACAGCATGTGATATTGAAACAACGATCAGACATTTTTAGCGTTAGTAAGGTGTGAGTTGTCTTCCCACCATTATATAGCAGCCAGCCTAGCCCCTGCAGTTGTGCAAATATTTTGTTTCCACTCTTTTCGTGTCCACATTATACTAAAAAAGCTGGAAATTTCTTCCTGTACTTCAGCCATGCAGCAGTATTACTTTTTTATTTGCATATGTAATTCTAAATAACTTTTTCAGGGAAATAGTAGGTGAAAAGTAACAGGGATATGTAATTTGATAGCTGCTCCCTTGTCACCAGCAATGTTATTCTAATATGGTAAATGGATACTGTTATCTAGAGAAATAAAGATACAGCTAAAGTATTATGGGAGAGTTCAGATAGACGAAATCACTTATGGTACTGTTGGAATTATTGTTGGTTTTATTTATTACTTGAGCTATTTTAAAAATATTTCTTCTTCAGAACAAAGTGCTGAGTGTTTATTTTGAGACTGGATCTTATAGGTATCCTGGTATAGACTTGAGAACATATGGTTGTAGCACCTAATACAATTTGGGGATCTATGAATCTTGATTACTTAGTTATTTTCTCACTTGTTTTGTTAAAGTATTTTTTGATACTAGCTTATAAAGATGCTACATTCTGTGTCTGTTTTTAAAAACATGAAATTTTATTTCCTTTTTTCCTCCAGCAAGTTGAAGTAGATGCACAACAGTGTATGCTTGAAATCTTGGATACTGCAGGAACGGTATGTAAACTAAAGTACCAAAATCTATGTACAGTTTGTATAGTATTGCTGTATAAATGCTAAGTACACTGTAACAAAGATGGGTTAAACTTATTTAAAAGTACTACTTGCATTAAATCTTTAAGCTGTTTTTCTTATTTCAATTTTTTTTTAATTATACTTGGTAGTTTTAGCAGGCCTATTACTGGAAAGTTCATTCAAAAATGTGTTAGAATGAAGACTAGCAGATGGCGTCTGGTTACGTCACTGCACCTCTCACATGGCCAACTGCGGTTCAAGTTTTGGACCCAGCGGCTTGAAGCTCACGCCGGGTGCATGTGTGTGCGCCCAAAATCCCGAGAGGAGAAGGGATTGTGGCATGGCCATTCCAGTGGAGGGTAGTTTCTCACTTTCTATTAGCTCTGACAAGTGCACGCACCCTATAACAAAAATCTCTCTTAAAAGAAGAAAGAAAATTTGTTAGAATAAAAATTTCCATAGTCACACTAGTAAACTTCTAAAAACAACTTAATGTATTATCATATTTCAAATAATGTAGAAAATCCTTAAGCATTAATTCATCAGTGGTTATGTGAAATATTTCGATTGGTATATTTCCTCCTCCAAAGTATTTGCAGACTAACTAGATTTGTAGAGATTTGAAGGTAAAGGGAATATTTGTTCTAGGTGTATGGTATTGAGTACAAGATATGTACCAGGCTCCTTGTTCTTATCCTCAAATGCTCACAGTCTAGTGAAAGAGGAGTAATGTGGAATATGGCGATATATATAGGTAAGCATAGTGATGGACCCCACAGAATTCTCCAGCGTCATGAGCCAGCCATGGGTAATGGGGATATGGTTAGGGTGCACTATACATGACGATGCCATAAAAGCTTTCATCAGCTTTTGGAGGCACAGTATTTCTGTTCTGCTTGAATATACTTATTGTATGTGAATCAACTTTACTATATTATTTCTTGAAATACCAGTTTTTCAAATAGTATCTAGCCATGAACTGTAATTTTAAGGAATGTTACATAATACTACAATATTCTTCATTGAATTGTGACTATAGACATTGAAAATTGTCAAATTAACTGTCATAACGTTTTTCTTCATCTTTCTTCTATAGGAACAATTTACAGCAATGAGGGATTTGTACATGAAAAATGGACAAGGCTTTGCATTAGTTTATTCCATCACAGCACAGTCCACATTTAATGATTTACAAGATCTGAGAGAACAGATTCTTCGAGTTAAAGACACTGATGATGTAAGCTGACTTTGTAATAAATGTATTTTATCTGAAGATTCTTATTACAATGGTATCCCATTTTAAAGTTTAAATTTAAACCTAATTTTAAGCTTATGTATTTTGGGAGTCTGTTTTGTCTTGTTTTAAGCCTTTTCCTTGAAAGACAAAAAAATATTAATATGTCTTTAACACTTACACATGTTTCAAATTTATATGTAAAGTGAGAAATTTCCTCCTTTCCCTTTATCCTATAAAAATTAAATATTTCACCTTTTTTGTTTTTAAGCCACACACTTAATACAGAGGAAAGAGGGCTATAGAAGGCTAATATCACTAATAAAGTAAATAATGTTCTGGCCTCAATTCTGATAGATTTGAGAGCCTCTTTAACAAGAGCCAGGCATATATATGAACATACTTCAAGCAACTAGGACAGAGGAAAAGCAGCATAATGATCATTTTTAAAGAAGAAAACAAGTACATCTGATTCTGACATTTAAGTGCCCCTTCAGAGTATGCTATAATGGAATTTAATACTGTAGGCAACTTCAAAAAGATTATTTTAATTCTTCATCATACTGTATAAGAAGATCCTTTGAAAATGGATGGGAAATGCATATTATAGAGAGACTACATGAATTTCCATTTTTCATGAACTTTTTGAAGTCCTCTCATATAATAGTGATTATCAAAATTGATCTTGCCTCTGAATTACCTATAGGATTAGTTAAAATACAGACTGCTGGATCTAGCTCCCAGAATTTTTCCTTCAGTAAGGCTAGAGTAGAGTTTAAGAATTAGCATTTCTAGTAAGTTGCCAGTTGGTATTGATGCTGCCAATGTGGGTATGCTTTAAGAACCACTGTACTGTAGTTAAAGTAGCAAATATTGTGAGATCTGGGAGACAGTCATGGTAACTGCTGCCATTTTGAGGGCTTCCAAATGAGTATTTGTTAAATATCTAATCATAAACTCTGAATATTTTTCTGAAAAGCCCTATTTCTCACTTGGATTTTTTTTTCCAAAAAAAAATTTTTAAAGCTGCTTTCTAAATGCTTTTTGATGGTTTTATAGAATAATTGGTATTTTTGCCTATACTGTATTTTTAAAAGTACAAACAACACATATTTCAAACACATGATGCCATCAATAAGTGACTTTGACTTTTTGTAAGTTAAAAGTTGACTATAATTTGTGGCTTTTTAGCTCAAGACTTATACAAGAAACTAAAGATTGTACTTTAGGAACCTTCTAAATTTCTCCTTTTTGTGTTATGCAATTAAGAATGCTAATTTGATAAGTGCATGTCAGGAAACCAGAAAATTGAGTTGATTCACACCCTTTAGAGAAACATTTTTAAATGTTGAAATATATTGGTTTTTCACAGTAACACCCATTTGCGCTTCTTTTTAAAATGTTTATGTGTTTCGTTAACTACTTTTCTAAGTTCATTGTGATATAATTTTAAAGTTTTTTTTTCCCTCTTTTATAAGTAGATCATAGCTATAGGTCTTACTCAAAAGATTCTGATTTTTATCTACATTGACCTTGTTATATCCACATTGACATAATATATATGAGAGTGCTCAGTCTATTTTTTTCTTTTTTCCTTTGGATATATTTGACCACCTCCAAGAGAAGAGAGGGCAGTGGAGATAACTGACAGTATAATAGACCTGAAAGTTAATATGTATTTTTTAAGTCTCACAGATGAACATTATTAAGGCTTTCATTTTATCGCACATCATTTGGTAGTTTTCTCTAGTGTCATATAAAAGTAGTCCTTAAGGTTGACTCTTAATAAGTCTTCTGATATGAATTTGTATAGCATACTTACTTTTTTATTATTATTTTTTTTATCCCTGCAAATACATTTTTAGGTTCCAATGATTCTGGTTGGTAATAAGTGTGACTTGGAAGATGAAAGAGTTGTAGGAAAGGAACAAGGTCAAAATCTAGCAAGACAATGGAACAACTGTGCATTTTTAGAATCTTCTGCAAAATCAAAAATAAATGTTAATGAGGTATGATCATATATACTTACAATAGCTCTTCATAGCATTCCAAATTCAAAGAGAAAAAATTGTGTATATTAAAACAACCCCAAGTAATATGTACATTGTATGAGATATGTTGCTCTTGGAAGCAAAAAAAAAAAATTTTTTTTTCTTAAAAACGTGTGTAAATAAGTCACAGTAGTATTTCGATCTCTTGTTTTAAATGCGGTTCATTAAAATTTACCATGAAAAATGAAGAGTGGACAGAAAAGATAGGGGTGGGGAAGAGAAATTAAGTCTTCAGGTGTACATGAGGGGTGTTGTGTCAACAGACTAAAATTCGGCAAGACAGCGTTAAAGTCATTATACATCAAAGATGTTTTTCTGTGCCTGATGGTAAATGTTCTAATTGAACTAAGATAAGCTCTTTTCTTCAAGTACTATTTTAAGGAGAACCGTTTTAGCCCTCCCCAAAAATAAACAAAGACCTTGGCATTTATAAGAACACCTGGTTTTACTTTTACTCCATAACAGCAGAATATCTGCTTTCTGAGGGTTCACTTATATCCGCGAAATTTTTCATTTTGTATTTTATTTTTAGACTTTTGCTTTTGGGGTATTTTTCTCTTACAAATTAAAAAGAAAAATGAATATGTTTACAGATCTTTTATGACCTAGTGCGGCAAATTAACAGAAAAACTCCAGTGCCTGGGAAGGCCCGCAAAAAGTCATCATGTCAGCTGCTTTAATGTACTAAATGCTTTGTAGCTCTGAGCCAGGTATGTTCATTTACTTTCCCTCTAACTTTTAATTGCTCAACTTCCTTAAGGACACACTATCATGAAAGTAAAGGTAGAATTTGTTTTTGTTAGTTCTGAAGAATAAATGGTAACTTTTTAAGATACTTATGAGCTAGTATGGTTAGTAGATTAATTGAAATAAATATCTTACTTACCTATCATCATTAGATATAAGGTATTCCGTGTAAGTGAATATTCTAAATAAGTTCATTCAGTGTATACTTATGCCCTGATGGGATGCTGGTATGTACAGACAACCCAGGTGTGAATAGGGCCAACCTTTTCTCCTTGCCTCTTAATTGCCTTAGGCTAATTAAGGTTTAGTGGAAGAGATTATCATAAATGTGATAAATGCTATGATAGGACAGAGCCAGTATTGTACTACTGATAAAATCTCTGACATATCTACTGTGTGTCAGCCACTCTTAAGAATACTCAAAACAGTCCTATGAAGCAAGAACTATTAAATAGTCCAATATTACAGGTGAAGGAACTGAGGCACAAAAAATTGTTACTTGTTCTAGCCCTACAGTTAGTAAATAGCACAGCCAGAATTCAGATAAGCAAGCTGGCTCCTGAGTCCATGCTTAGTAACTATACTGTAGTCACTCTACTACAGGAGCATATAATTGAGGAGTCACATCTGTCAGGTGGGGACTAGGGATGCAGAGAAAGTCTGTCAGCGGCTGCCCTGTAACATAGTGTTTAATTGTTTAACTGTATCTGCATATCAAGGTAACCAGATCACATAGCCAGTCAGGGTGCAAGAACCAGCCTGGAGTCTTGCATGCTGAGTATGCGTGTCCAGGAGTCAAAGGAGATAGAGAATTGGAGGAAAATGGATTGTAGCATGACCAGGCCCCATAGCAGGGTACCTACATGCACTCTTCATGTACACATTTTCTTTCTCTCTCTCTCTCTTTCTCTCATCCACTCACCCTCTTTCTTGTCAAAAAAATAAGGAAAAGAAAAACACCTAAGCTAATCAGATTTGGAGAACAAATAGACCATATCCCTGTTAAGTATGTAGGTTTCCCCAGGAGAGAGCACCACAAATAACACAGAGTATGAGATGGCAGACAGCATAGGAAACTGAGCTCACAACATTTTGATAAAGGTTTCAGAAACACTCGGGTTAAACGAAGTTAGTACTTGTTAAAGCAGTTATATCAGTGCCTGGCGTATAGTAACAGTTACCTATTAGCTCCTGCTGTTTGCCAACGATGTTGTATTTGATTAACATCAAACTGTGATTTCTCTGTTCTCTATTCGTGGGAACGGTTGACGTTGGTGACTGCATGCACCTGTGTTCATTAGCCCCCTACTATAATATCATAGTTCCTTTATCTTTATAGATGTTTTGTCCTATCTTCCATTTAGGGCTTCCTGTTGAGTGATATCAAGACTCATTCTAAACACCCTCTCATTCCTGACCACATGCCCATTCTTAGCAGCACACATGTGCCTGAACTCACACTCCCATCTGTTCTTTCCACTGTGCAAGAATTTAGGAAACTAGATTGCAGACTTCATCCAGACTCAGAATGAGAAGTACATTTCCAGACATTGTGACAGTTATTTTGGCAGCCACATCTATATTAACCCACATCTATATGAACAACCTTTCTGTAGTTGACAAGAAGACTGATCCCCAGGAAAAGTAAAAAAAAAAGAAAAAGAAAAGAAACATTGTTTTGACCCAGGCATGTATGCAGAAAATAGCCAAAGTAAATATATGTTGAATAGACAGTGTGTTCTGATTTTACTTCTTTTACATCTCTCAGAAATCATTTTCGCAGACCCTGATTACATGTGATTTTAGTGAATACCAGCTTTTTCTGGCATCCATTTTAGAGTTAATAGGTACGAAATTAGAAAGTATATATCTGTCCACTGTAAAGCTATAAAGATGCATCTACTTCTCTGAGCCAGGTTTTTCGCCTCGTTTATTGAAAGAGTTATGAAAAAAGGTAGCCCACCCCTCCACAATACGACATGGTCATACTGAATTCCCTTCTCCATTTTTCCACCCTGTCAGGATTTGGGGCTTGCATGTACACATGCCTGGTATGTCTCTTAAGCCACCAGAACTGGGATTTGAACCACAGTTGGCCCTGTGGGTTCCAGCTCCATTAACCACTAGGCTATGGGACTGGCCCAATCTAAAAAGTTACGTATGGTTACTTTTCCTTTTTAATCTTGGGAAGGTGGTACACAGAAATTTATACAAAGGCATTTCCCTTTCTGTTTCTAAAATTTTCATTTGACTTGCCTTTCAAGAGGTCAAGCACAGTAGACTTTTTATCTTTTGGGAATGGAAAGATGAAAATGTCCTTGCTTACACTATATTAATTTGTAACACTTGAAGACTGTTGTCTTACTATTTCCTTTGTATGTTTCAGAGTATTGTTTTCAATCCATTTCTCCATTAAGTTATTTTTTCTCTTTTGACAGGTATGAAAAACTGTTGCCCAATTCAACAGTGCCAGCATTCCAACTTTGTTAAACCTACCAACATCTTAAATGGACTTTCCTGTGGTGGTACCCTTTAAGAGGCGGATGAAAGCTACTATATCAGTTTGCACATTCTAATCACTTTCCAGTATCACAAGAGATTTTTACTTATATATTAGTCCTAGAGTATGCAGCTGGTAAAACCAGAGGCTACATCCAGTATTACTGCTAAGAGACATTCTTCATCCACCAATGTTGTACATGTATGAACATGGTGTACTGTATACTTTAACACACCCCATACTTTGTATTGGAGAGTACAATAATGTAAATCCTAAAAGCACCACTATTTTAGCATAATAAAAGAAAGTCCAAAGAGCTCCTATATAGACTACTCCAGATAACTTCGCTTCTTTGATACTTGTAGCTTATTGTAATTTTTTTTTTTAAGAAATTCAAGGTCATTATCATTGTATTGTACAAAATAAGCGCTTTGATTAACACAGCTATATAGTTTTTTTAATTTTTAAAAAACCTGTGGAGACAGTGATCTTGTCTATAAAATATGATAGTCCTTTCAGTATAATGTCTTAGATTAAAGACGTTGCCTTTAATATCTGTTGGGAAGGAAATGTCCAGACTTTTCAAATCTCCTATTATATGTTTCCTTTTTTGTTTATATAGGGAACAATGTTTATAGTCATGTGTACAGTGGGGGTCTACAACAAGAAGTGTATATTTTCAACAATTTTTTAATGATTTAACAATTTTTGTAAATCATTTTCAGGCTTCTGCAGCTGTAGATTCTCACTGTGAATCCCTTGCTTGCTCATGCATAAGTGTATTTGCAATACCAAATATACAGGTTTAGTATTTTTGCCTGTTAGTGATTGTTTCACATGTGTAACGTTTTGGTTGAGATGTTAAATGGTGGACGAGTACTGTGGATGTGGATGTGGGAAGTAATTTTAATCATGTGTAATTGGTCACAAGGCCTAATTTACAGTAACTGTTGCTGTTTTATTTAACAATGCCTTGTTGCTTTGTATGCATTAACGTTTGGGTGTAAAGATTGTGTGTCTATCCAACAGGGAGCCACAGTATTTAAATTGACCAACCTAATGTTACAACTACTTTGAGGTGGCCAAATGTAAACTAAAAGCCTTAATTAAAGTGGTGCAATTTTCTATAACTTAGCATCAGTAGTTCAATAAATTTGGATTGCCATGCAAGGGCTTGCATTATAGTTACTTGACACTTGAATGTGTTTTGTGTAATGTTTTAATAGTGCTAGTAAATAAATATGGATTTGCCTTCTTTTTAAATGTAATAGGTACATTTTACACAGTGTGGTTTTATAGTTTTAACATTTGGGCAAGCCAGGTTTATTATTATTTTAGGAATGATGAGTAAAAGTCATAGGATTTTTTTCTGGTATTTGACTATCCACATTAACCACCTTTGACCTTTTCCTTGAGAAGGAATTTTGTAAATCAAGCAATATTACTTATGAACAAATGCCTTTGAGTAATGTTCAGTAGCTCTTTGGGGTGAAGCGGGAAGGATTGAAAGTACATTGACAGATGTTACACTATGGATTTTTATATATATATATATACATATATATATATATAGGATGGAGTTATACTTAGAATATTATGGTTATAAAAATCTTTAAATGATGTGGACTCAAGTACTACTTTGTTTTTTAAAGACTGAACCTTTGTCTTATTTTATGCCCTAATTCTTTTGTGAAATTTGTAAAGAAGCTTTTAACTCAGGCCAGCCCATGACATGGTGATTAGGGCTGCTGGATTCCAAATGCCCGACTGTGCAGTTTGAGTCCTGGACCTGGCAGCTTGAGAAACATACCAGAGGCAATAGAGGCATGCTCAAAATCCCAAAAGGAGGGAGTAATGGAGAAGGGATTGTAGTGCAACCATTCCTCGTGAGTTGCATGCTCTCTCTCTCTCTCCTCCAGCAGGCATATGTAGTCTCAGGCAACATTTTTTTAAAGCAGCAGCAGCTTTTTTTTTTTTAATTCATTTTTAATTTCCCAGAGAGAGAAAGTGAGAAAGCAAGCCTCCAGGTCCGACACCCCCACGGTCAGCCTCTTGGGAGTCCAGTGCCTTAATGACAACACCACCTGCTGGACTAACAGCAACTCCTTTTAACTCAGACCTTCTCAAAGTACTTATCACCCACTGGAACAATTAATTAGTGATACCATCCAATTTAGAGGTGTCTGCTAATCCCCTAATTATATGCTGTATAAATGGAACATTTAAGAGTTTTAATTTTAAGAAGAAAAAAGGTTTTATTCATTACATAATTCAGAATTCCATGTATTGAAAGGTGGCCTAAAGAAAAAAAATGTTCTGGAAACCCCACCTAAATAGATTTACTTTGGCAGAACTTTTTTCCTGATGTTTATTTTTTCCCTGTGTGACAGAGAGGGCTACAGTGCCTCATCAAGTCCCACACTGCGATCCACCCCAACCTTAGCTAGCCCAGTGCATGTGCGCACACATGTTCAGCACACTCGGGTCTCTGTACATGAACTGGTAACCTTCCAAAGTGGGTCTACTTTGTAGAGTGTCATGTTTTATCACTGCACCACCATCTGGCCCCCAGATCTGTTTTCATTGATAGTTATTTGAGAGAAAATTAAGCCCCAAAAATATAGGGCTAGGGAACATTAAAATCATTTCAGTTTAGGGTAATCGGATAAATACGTTGACGGTACCTCCATTAATTACCTTTAATTATGTTTGTGACCTACCAACTATGTACCAGGCAGAGTTACAGGCTCTTAAGAGCAGTAAAATACTGATTACTTAGTTATCAAGAAAGTGTACAGGTCTAAGGATACAGCAGCAACAGGGATAACTGAAATTCTGCCCTCTTCTCATATATACTGTATTACAAGGTTTCTCAGCATTGTTGATACTTGGGGCTGAATAATGTTAAGGGTGCTGCCCTGTGCATTCTAGTTCTTAACAGCATCTCAAGTCTCTTCCTACTGGATGCCAATAACACCATCCCAATCCCCATGTTGCAACAACCAAAATTTCTCCAAACATTGCCAAATATCCTCCAGTTGGTTGAGCATTAAGAGAGTGATGGAGTGGACTTCAAGGGCAAAATTGCTCTATATGACAACTACTGATCTAGTGGGAAACAAATTAGTCACAGATGCCTGTTAGAGTCACAGGATGAGTGCTTTATTATAGTGAGTAAGGCTATGGGCTCTGGGACCAGATTTCCATTTTTCCATGAAGTTTTTGAAATCCCTTCATGGAAATAGGGCTGTGGTTTGTCAAAAATTCATTTTCAGGACCAGCAAGTGATGTGATGGTTAAGGCGCTGTTGACCTCAGTTCAGGTCCTGAACCTGGCAGCTTGCTTTCTCACTTTCTCTGCTGAGCATAATAATAATTATAATAAATAAAAATAATTCTTTAAGGAGAAAAGGGACCAGCAGGGGGCATGGTGGTTAAGGCACCGGACTCCCACATAGCTAACTGGTTTGAATCCTGGACCTGGTGGCTTGCTTTCTTACTTTCCCTCTCATTCTCTCTCTCTCTCTCTCTCTCTCTCTCTCTCTCTACTCAAATAATCGAAATGGGGGAGGGGAAGATAATATTTTATAATTAATATTCCTACTACTTTGTCTTAGAAACCTTGAAAGCATTAGGCTGGCAGGTGATGGGAAAGTTAAAGCAGCAGGTTCCCACGTGGCCAGCTACTCAGTTCAAGTCTCTGACCTGGTGGCTTGAAAAACACCAGGTGCATGTGTGCCCAAAATCCTGAGAAGTAAAACGGAGGAGAAGGGATTGTGGCTTGGCTATTCCCGCCAAGGGTGATACCTTTCTCTTCTCGCCAAAGGTGATACCTTTGCAGGCTTGTCCCTTAGCTATCAGGAAGCCTTAACATTGTGATATAGAAAGACTCAAAATATTTCACAAACTAAATCTGAGGCCAGCTCTATAGCATGGTGGTTAAGACAGCCAGATCCTACATGGCTGACCATGTGGTTCAGATCCTGTTCCTAGTAGTGTGCAAAATGCCGGGCACATGAGCATGCTCAAAATCCCAGCAGGCTGGAGAAGTAGAGGAAAAGAGATTGTGGTATTAGATGATGCTTTCTCTCTGTCTCTGTCTCTCTCTAGTGAGTGCACATGCTCTCTGGCCATTTTTTTTTAATCTGCTCTAGAATTGTTAAAGAGTTCATCAGTACATCTGCCATTTTATAAGAGAACTGAGAACTAAATACATGTGTCTTGAGAGAAAAAGTTGAGTCTGTGTGGGATATTTGATGATGTTATTGATGAAACTGGCTACTAAACCTAGTAAGTCTTCAGGCTTGCTATCTAAAATAAACGTATTCCTAAATAGAAGTGTTTTCTTAATGTTGCAGTTTTTAGTATTCCATGTTACACGTATTTTGAACTTGTATTCTTTTTTTTTTTTTTTTTTTTTTAGAGGTTTTTGCTATAGGGCGTGTGCGCTCGCCAGAAAGACAGAGACAGACAGACAGAAAGCGAGAAATCACCCCCCAGGGGGGATGGCCATGCCGCAATCCCTTCTCCTCCATTCTCCTCTCGGAATCTTGGGCACACATGCACATGCATCCAGCGTGAGTTTAAACCACTGGGTCCAGGACTTGAACCACAGTCTACTACATGGGAGTTCAGCGACATAGCCATTATACTAACTGCTGGTCACTGAACTTGCTTTCTTAAAACTTCCTTGTTAGTGACCTGAAGGTAACCTTAAGATTTAACAGTTTTGGGACCAGCAGATGGCATAATGGTTACATTGCTGGACTCTCACATGACTGACCATTGTTCGAGTCCTGGACCAGGAGGCTTGAAACTCAACACCATGTGTGTGTGCATCCATGCCCAAAACCCTGAAATGATTTTAGAAAATCATGCTATTATTTTTCACACGTGTGAGATTTTTTTTCATTTATAAGTAGTTAATAATTGTTCTTCCTGTTCATAGGGCGTGGCATTTATTATTATAACCCACTTTTACTTAATTTTCCTTACAGAGGGACATAAATGAGATAATTTTGCAAATTCAGCATCTGTATCTAACAGGATTTGTTTCTGGGAACCAAATAAGCACAGATAACTTACAGTATTTTGACATGAATACTAGATTCACTTAAGTTAAAAGGTTACAGCAGTTTTTAAATAGGCAGACGTCAAAAGCCTTTAATGTTTTTGCCATCTGCCATTATTACCCATTCACATTTCAATGTATAGTGAGTGTGGTAGTTTATGACCCCTGTGAGCACTAATTGCAGAAAAGGAAACTATTACTGTTCAACTTTTTACTGTGCAATATACCAGGCTTAGTGCAGAGGGAAGTAGGAAGGACTAAGTGATACAATAAACCCAGTACCTGCTGGCAAAGTGTTTAAGAAAGACCAGTTAAATAAACTGTCAGATGTAATAATTCGTATCTAACCATAATTCACTCTCTGTTATCCATGTTAAGGCAAATGACTAATAGTAAAAATTATATTTTGCTTTGACTATTTGATTTATATTTTGCCTGGACTATTTGATTTGTATTCCCAGCTATTAGATTTAGTTGACTAACAGGTCAATGGTAATTATTGAGTCATCTGAAAAGTCATGATGCATTTTTGCATAGAAAAAAAAAAAAAACAGGAAAATATTTGATGACTTTTCCGACAACCAAATAGTTGAATTCCCTGAGCAAATTAATCAGAGATGAAGAACAACAATTCCATGTGGAATCTGGCTCCCTTAACCACTAGGCTGCGGGGCCAGCCTCACCCATTAGGATGAAGTTTACTTGAATTATTTTACTGGTGGTCTTTTAAAGATAGCTAGACTTGAATGGTTGGGTCTCGGAGTTATGGACATAAGCCACTGAACCATGAATGTGAATGGAATTAATAACTGAGTGTGGGGGCTGGTAAGTGGCACAACGGTTAAGGTACTAGACTCCCACATGGCCAACTGCAGTTGGAGTCCTGGACCTGGCAGCTTGCTTTCTCACTTTCCCTTTCTCTCACTCTGTCTCTCTATCAAGTAAAACAAAATAATAATAACAATTCTTCAAGAAAAAAAGAAACTGAGTGTGGAAGAGTTTAAAAAAAAAAAAAAAGCAGTGTTGGAGTACAAGACAGGACAGAGTACAGGTCCCTTAACTTAGTGCTTAAGAGAGCTATATCCTACACCGCCAACTTCAGGTTTGAGTCCTGACCCCAGTG